ATGTTTAAACAATTATAGTCAAACGAGATTGGGGGTAGGATGACGGTAATATGTACAAATATATTTGATTAAAAATACTAGAATTAATATGAATCATGGATGACTGTGAAAGAAATGCGCGAAATTTTTTTGTAACCAACTGATACACTTTCTACAGTATGTAAAGAGGATTTTTGGTGTTGTGCCTGTTTTGAAAAATAAAAATTAAAAAATCTTTTAATAAAAAAGAATGTGGGATACCATGCCAACATTCCTCCCAGTTTCTGCTTATATTTTCTCTTTCGATAGCTTTAGTAAATAGACCCACAAATAAAGTTATTTAGGAAGTATTTACCAGAAGAATTTTTTTTTACTTCCGACATAAACAAATGAAAGGCTCGTGTTGCGTTGCGATCCAAATGAAGAGAACTACGTCACAAAAAGAGACCATGCTGAGCCACCAATCACCTCCTATGCGAATCTAAAGGAATAAGGAACTCGTCAGCCCAATCAGCCAAGGCAGAGAGGCCGACGCTCCTGCCTGATTCAGTTTCCAGATTAGCCAATCAGAAGGAAACTAATAGTAAGTATAGGCGGGAGACAAGCGCACGCGCACGGATGTCCGTTACTTCCAGGCAGCGCGCGTACGCCGCTGGAGGCAAGCGTGGAGAGGTCGGGTGCGCGGGGTAGTCGCGGTCGTGAGGTAACGCCGGGCGCGAGGCGGTTATCTGTTCCTTTTCGACAAGAACGGAAGGTGCAAGCGCCATTGTAACTACCCAGAGCTCAGCGAGGGGGAAAAAAAAGAATCCTGCTTCCGCCTTAGGTGGCCTCTGAGAGAAACGACCGCAGCGTCAGGTTCGATTATCTTCTAGGCCGCTGTGGGCGGGGTTTATACGGATTTGGCCGGCCCACTCGGGCCCCGCGCATTTTCAGGATGTCGGCACAGGCTCAGATGCGCGCGATGCTGGACCAACTCATGGGCACCTCCCGCGACGGTAAGAATCTGCTGCTTACTAGCCAAGCTAGGGAAACCTCCCGGAGGCATGTTGACGGAAAAGCAGAAAGGCCCCGAGTGATGATTGGCAGGGCTTGTGTCTCGATTTTCTTTTCCTCTCTCCATTAGGGGCGGGCCTCAGACAAGGGTGAGAGACTAAGAGGCCGGGTTATATCGGCACTGATATAACGGGAAGGTTTGGGTGTACGATTCGTTTCAGGAAACGGGAGAAAGAGTTGTGTATTCGGTAACGGAAGGATGAATATCTTTGTTTCTAGGGCATTAGGAGTGTGACAGGGGTAAGCTCATACTATTCTTGCAAAAGGATCTGGTCTTCATTAGCACCGAAATGTGAAATTGTGCCCATTCTATTTTTTGTCAGCAGATTTACCTGATTAGAAGAAAGGAAAAGGGGTGCTCAGCTTGTTGCTACTGCTGCACTCATATTTTGGTACTGGAAATCTGACCCAAACCAGCATTTCAAGTTAATTCGTATCCCTGATATTAAAATATTTCAGGTGGCTTATTTTAAGCAGTGTGATTAGAATATGTGTGTGTCTGTAACACATTTCTTGACAAATGAATTATTTTTTTTACAAGAATTTGTTTTTTGAAGAGTTTACTTTGACAGAACAGGTATATTTGTGGCGAGCCATTTATTTCTGAATAGCATTTAAAGCAGTTTCTGCAATAAATACTTCAGTCCCTTTTGTGAACACATTATGAAGCAATGTAGTGGGAAAAAGGGAAAATGTTGCATAAAATGTATGTATACAAAAGAAGCTTAAAATTTCTTCTGTCATAGACTAATCTTAAGAAATTTCTCCCATATTGATTCTGCTTACACAGATTAATGAGTTTTTCCCTTAGGGAAAAAATCACACACGATCACACAGATAAAATGATCATAACTTTTGATGTAAGTAAAATACAGTGATCTCCAGCATTGTGTTTTGCTTGGAAGTGTTTTTTTAGTCATTCATAGAAGGGTGAAATTGGCAAGATAGGAATCTGATTCATTCCCAAAAAAGTTATTTTGTAAACAAGAGACAGATGACAAAGACCTTTTAAAGCTGTGAAATCAATAGCCATCATGCCATTGACTGAAAGAAGTGGGAAGATGAAATCTAGAATTCACACCTTGGGACTTTACAAAGATAGGATGGTAGTAGATGGAGAATTTCTAGTGTGCATGGCTTCCTATTTTTATCCTTTGGAAATGTAATAATTAATTTATCAGTTAGTAAACCGTCTCTTCCTTTTTATTCTAACTGGTTTAAAGCATCTCCTGTATTCCAACACTAATATTAAGCAATTGCTACAAATTTTCTTGTACTCCTACTAACTGGATCAGGGTGTCAATGCCACACACACAATGAACCATGTAGCCTAACATATGTGATAGAAATTGGCCAAGCAGATGGTTCGAGGTTTATAACTGCTGCCCTTCCAACACTGAACAGTCACTTTGCTGTCTGATAGGTTTCATGGGAATCTGGACAACTTTACTACTACTTGTATTTAATGTGAGCTGCATATCTCTTAAGACCTGGCAATTTTCTACTGCTACCTTCTTGTATACAATCTATGAGAGTGATGACCAAAGGAGATGCAAAATCAGGACCCTCTCTTCTAATACAGAACAATCCAGGCTTCCGAGATTGTAGAACATAAAACCAGTGCAGCTGGACATCATCAAAAATCTATCTGCCCAATAAAACTGCTGATACTGTGAGTTCTACACTTATATTGTGGAAAATCTGATCATACATGAGTGTTCCATTAAGACCGCAACTTTCAAAGTATCAACCCTGTGTTATATTTAAGGTGAAGGGGTATGTTTTGGGAACATATGACTCTAAACATGTTTTGATAATTTTATTCCAATCTACAAGGGCTCAGAGGAACTCAGTGATGTATCATCATGAAATGACTCCTTTTGCACTTTTTTCTTAAAATAGGCCATTTCATTCCATGTATCTGCCTCCCCTTTGCTCCCAATACAGTCTGCTTATTCAGTAGTAGTTGATTCACATGATACTCTCTGTTTTTGAAAGACTGTATTTCATGTTTGAATATATAGCTTTGCTTGCCCTGTTTTCATCATCCGCAGTTGGAAAAACAGGATACATGCCACTTCAGAATAGTATCTTCATTGGTATATGAACGCCCAGCAATTATTTGGCATTTTACCTATAATGAATTAACTGTTATTTTGTTCATGGTAATTTAAGCCCATATGTGGTTATTTGCTACACTTGCTACTAATGTATCCCATCTCTTCCTCCTCCCAAAGGGCGTCCTTTTTCTCTAGGAAATGTAAACTGTTTAGAGCCTCCTGAAGAATCAGTTGGGTTGTCCAAGGCTTCTACAAATGCCGTCCTAACTGTCATTGCCAAGAAGGTCTTCCAATCAGCTAGAAATCAAATCAGGCTTTCTATCAATTTTTTTTCTACATATGATAATCGTCTGACAATTTAAAGCTGGATGCTAGACTTTACTAAATCTTTTCTAGTATTTTTACTTTTCCATTCAGTAGACCTTTGTTTACAGCTTACATGCACTGAATACACTTCTCTCCATCTTATAGATGAGTAGAAGGAAGACTTCCAGATAGAAAATACTTTGCACTTCACCAAAGGATATTGTGAAATATTTGTTGGAAGAAATATCAATATAAGAAAAGTTTTTTCCCTTTCTTTCTCCTTTGATAATTCCATTTGTAGTGTTTCATAAATCAAACCTCCTGACCACACATTCTAGCTCTGGCGTCTGTTAGCAGTTCTGTTTCTGAGATGGAAATGGCTTGCCTGAAAAACATTACAGTTGCTAGCACTCTTGGAAAAACATCTGAAAAAAGGGGCTAAAGAGATTTTAAGGAGATAATTTTGATAACTCAAAATGAAGAACAACTGGAAATACATTACTTCTTAATATCTCCAGTCAGGAGGAAGGATAAATTTAAAGTATTAAAGCAGGGAAACTTTGGTAGCTATAGCTATTGAAATAGCAGAAATGAAGAGGACACAACAACTTCACATCTCTGTAAGACTATTTCTGCCATCTCCACGTCCATGAGAAAAATGAAAATAAGGAGAGGTTTGTTTATTTATTTAGCGTATGGCAAATACATGGACTTATAGTGGTTCAAATGTTAATGTCCAGTCCACCCAGCCATTCAAGGTCAGGGTGGTCTTTGTTGAAAAAATCCAACTGTCAGGGTTCCATAGACATTGGGCCGATGTAAGCGCTTGATGGACATTCGGACACAATGTGATGGATATTTTGTCAAGTACCACAGTCACACTGAGGGATACAGACAAGACCCCACTTAAACAACGAGTCATGGCAGACTCCATGTTGGGTACGGATCCTGTTCAGAGTTGACTAATGCTGGTGAGGAAGGTCAAAACCTGACACCTTTTCTATTGGGTCATCTACGTAACTGCTTGTATCTGGGCGTTCAGTAGCCCATTTGGCTTTCCACTCTGTGTTGATATCTGTGTTGATATCGAAGTTGTTATACAGCTGTTGAGCAAGTGCCACAGAGGGCTTCTTGGATTTAAGTCTGCCAATTGATAGATGAGGACAATCAGCGTGCACAGGAAGTAGATTTTTCAAAATTTTGTTGTACTCCTTCACTCAAGACGGGGTGCCAGCAAGTAGTAGTAGTTTTATGCAACCGCTTATGATCCTCATTGTATCGTTTAGTTTAGTATAGATCTTGTTAGCGTGGCAGTCATTAAGCCAAATGGGTGCAGTATTCAGCTGTGGAGTAGACTAACCCTAGTGCTGATATTCTGAGAGTAGAGGCTGAGGCTCCCCATCTGGATCCTCTTTGTTTCTGGAGTAAATTGTTCCCGGTATGGATTTTAGCAGACATGTTCTCTAGGTGTTTCTTATAGGAAAGTCCGATCCAAAGTTACTCTGGGATATTTGGGGTGAGGATCATAAGGGAGTAAGTTGTTATTTAGGTAGGCCTTTGGGGTGGCATTGGCGAGTTTGTTGTTGAGATTGAAATAGGTGAACACCATTTTGCTGACACTGGGTATGAATCTCCAGTCAGCAAAGAATTTTCCCAGGGACTTCAGGTCCTCAGAGAAGAGGCAGTCCAAAACTTCAAAAATTTTATCATGCGCTGCTAGGGCCAGGTCATTTGCATATCCAAATTTACGCCCCTTTGGAGCTGGCTTATTTGATATAAATATTGAACAGTGTGGACGCCAGTACAGAACCTTATGGAAGGCCATTGTTGAGTCTTCTTAGCTTGCTAACATTGTTTCCCATAATTATCTGAAAGGATCTGTCGCTGAGGGACAGGATACAAAGTTTGAAGATGGCAAGACAGAAATTTCTGATTTGCACATCAGAAAAAGCAGTTTTAAAAATCAATGTCAGAAATCTTCAGGGCACTGAAATGAGTAAGCTATATGACTATTGAATCAAAAGTCAGGAGGAAGTGAGATAGTATTCAAACCTTGAAATTAGCTTTAAAAGTGCAGGATTTCTAGGTAAATGAAAAATATCTTCTATATATGGTTTTCTAATTCTGTACAAGAATTCTACTTATCTAACCTATCATATTTTTCGGAGTATAAGATGCACTGGAGTATAAAACGCACCAAGATTTTTAAGAGGCAAATTTAAAAAAAGTTTTTGCACTCTGCAGACCTCCCAAAAACGGCCCATTTTTGTCAAACAAAGGGCATGCATAGCCTTTAGGAAGTTTGTAGAGCGCTCCGGGGGGGGGGGATTGAGCAAAAAACAGCCCGTTTTTCACTCATTTCTGCCCTCTCCAGCCCCCAAGAGCACCCTGAAAGCCTCCTAGAGGCTATGCACGGCCATTTTGGTGAAGGTGGCTGGGTTTCGGGAGGCAAAAAATGCTGTATTCAGTGTATAAGAGGCATCCAGATTTTCAGCTCTTTTTTGAGGGAAAAGGGTGTGTCTTATACTCTGAAAAATACAGTAATTGAGTATGCTTGAATACATACCGTTCCACTG